ACTTTACAATCTTTTTGCACCAAAACTCTATCCATCTTATCATAGGGATGTCATGACTTGTAGTGTTTCCCTCTCGGAATTGGTGATATGCATCAAACAATTGTTGACAAGCTTGTGGAAGGAACATTTTATCCTTGTCGTAAGCACCTGTAAGTTCTCGAGTATTTGAAATAACTTCCTTATAAGGAGACCCCATTAAAGGCAGACTCCCAATAGTGTATAAGTCCCAAAGGGATATGGATAACTCTCCAACTTATGTGAGCAACGTGTTTGTAAGAGGAAACAAAGCCTCACAAAAAGTTTGCATGATACTGTAGAATGATCATAAGTAAACAATGAGGCATAGACAATATCGTAAATATTGGTGGCCCTCAATGTTCGATGGCTCTTACTAAGGATATCTTCGGTCCACTCCCAATAGCCAAGAACATAATGAAATTCGCCACCCAAAGTTAAGGAATCACTCCAGTGTATTTCTCCTTTGAGGATTCGTCGTCCTAAGCATGGGAGGAAATTTGCCACATTCTTAACTTTGTGATTATGGGAACGAAGAGTCCATGTCTTGAATTTACGTTTGGTGTTTTCAAAAGTCCAATATACCAAATAAAATGAATTTGTAAGGGTGGCCACGAAGCTGCATATAAGTCAGTTAGTGGTGTATCAACTAGCAATCTCGTCTCCGTTTTACTATCCCTGTACTCTGAAATTACAAGATACTTGGATGTAGAAGAAGAGGATGCTGATTCTCTGAAGTAATCCATGTTCAAGCTGCATGAAAAAAATATATGTTAGTACCTAAGTCAAAAGGGAAGAATAACAATCGTGATCTTGAAAGAGAACATGGATAAGTAAAAATTTTGCCTCAGACTTTTTTTTGCTTTTAAAGGGTTTTCGTTGCGAACTTTTAAAGGTATTCGTCTCGAACCTTTAAAGGCATTCAAATTTTAAAGGTTTTCGTTCGAACATTTAAAAGGCATATGTTTCAAACTTTTAAAGGTGCTCGTCTTAAACTTTTAAAGGTGCTCATGGCGAACTTTAATGGGTCCTTATTGTCGACTTTTAAAAAAAATTACCACGAGCTTTTAAGGGTCTTCGCCAAGAATAAAGGTTTTCATCGCGTGCTTTTAAAGGTCTTCACCAGGAGCTTTTAAATATTTTCACTGTGAATTTTTAAAGATCCTGACCATGACCATGAGGTTTTAAGGATTTTTGCACAAACTTTTATGGGTATTTGCCACAAATTTTAAAGGCTTTCATCGCGTACTTTTAAAGGTTTTCGTCTCGAACTTTTAAAGTACTTTGTAGTTTGACGAAGTTGCTTCTAAAAAAAAAAAAAAAAAAGAGTAAAGAAAAATAGAAAAAAGCACAAGAAAGAAGGTAAAATTACCTTGGTGTCAATTCTTCCGAATCGTTAAAGCCCGGTTCGAACAACTTGCAAACACTGTAAACTGATGATCAATAAAGGAAGGAAATGCAACTATTTATAAGCTGCGAAAGGCTGCTACTGCAAGATTTATCCGATGTGGGATCAATTACGTTAAGGCGACGTTGGGTGTGTTTGGTATGACGAAAAATATTTTTTTATTTTCTATTGTTTGGTTGCACAAAATAGTTTGAAATTTTTTTTCTTAAATATCATATTTTCTTGAAATTGGAGGAAAATGACTTCCCTAAAAAAAGTTAGGAAAATATTTTCCAAAAACTCCACCTACCTCACATCTAATCCCCTCCAACTTCAATTTTTTATTTTTTTTCGTTTTTCTACGTCACCCCCTCCCCCACCCACCCTCGCAATTTTCTTTTGTATTTTCAATTTTCTGTCCCCCGCAATATTTTTTATATATTTTCAGTTCTAGTTTTTTTATTTTTCAGTTTACAGGTTCGAAATTTACGAGTTCCAAGGTTATGAGTTCGGAGATTTATGTGTTTAGAAGTTTGCGAGTTTAGAAATTATAGAGTTTACATGTTCGAAAGTTTAGCGGTTCAGAAATTTATAAAATTTATGGGTTCGGAAGGTTGTTGGTTCGAAAGTTTATGGCTTCATGTTTATTGTATCTAAATTATAATTTATGAATACTCTTGAGAAGTTATTTTCCTTAATTTGCGTATCAAACACCGAAAAATGAGTAAAATTATTACTTATTTTCCAAGAAAATATTTTCTTAAAAATATTTTCCACGGAAAATATTTTTCATGGAAAATATTTTCCCAAACACACCCTTAATGCTTTCGTGTCCAACTGAAACTGGTAAAAATATTTGATTCCTATTTGGATTTAATGATTCTGGAGGATTGAGGGTATGCGGGTAACATTAATCAGCCAAAGTGAGCTTTTGCTTCTATATTTGCCTTAAACTATACATAACTATCACAATTTTAAAGAAATATAACAAATTCGTAGCATGAAACCAATATTACAGTTGTGGCCGAAAAATATTTATATTTGTAGCACACAGTTCCATTAAAATAGGAATATTAATTATTAATCTCTAAACATAAGTAATTTGAATGGAAAGTCAATATATCTTTGTACAAAAATCATGCTTTTTTTTCTCTTTATCTATTAGCTTTCCTTCTTCTTCTTCTTCTTCTTCTTCATCTTCTTAATTTTATTTTCTGCCGAAACCAATATATTTTCTAAATTTGTTTCATTCATTTTCTTTTTAATTATCTTTCTTAAGTTTTTCTCTTCCTTCTTTCTTCCTTTCTTAACATAAAGATCTTACTTCGATAATAATATACATTAATATATACAAAACATATATAAAAAATATATATTGAATTAACACATATAAAATATACATAAAAAATACATCTTCAATTAAGATGATACTTAGACATGTGAAATATGCATAAAAATATATCTTAAATTTAATTAAGATGGCAAATAAATATACAAAAAATATATATATAAAAAATACATCCTGAATTAAAATGGCACTTGACATATAAAATATATTTGAAATATATATTAAAAATACATCTTAAAATAAGATGGCACTTCACAAATAAATATACAAAAATTATATACATAAAATATATTCTGAATTAAAGTGATACTTGATATACAAAGTATAAAAGACGTATAAATCAATACATCTTGAATTTAGGTGGCATTCACATATGCATCAGATTTTAAAAAATGGAGTGAAGAAGATGAATGTTGGGCTTAATTTTTGTAATATGCTAATAATAAAAAAAATATTCTTTATGGAATAAACAATAAATAATACTATTTTTTTAAAATAATAGTTAAAAAAGGATCAAGTGTGTAAAAAGAAAACTCTAAAAATAGTGTACACGTTGTCCCTACTAGCGAACTAATGAAGGAAAATATATAATTAAGTGGATGGGATATAATGATACTAAAAGATTCAATATTCAATGTGATATTCCATGCCACCTGGGAAAAGAATGTCAAATGCAAAAAGCTGACGTAGGTTCAATAAGCAAATGGAAGCCATTTTTATTCATGAATTAATAGGCTACTTTGTTAGCAATATTCAATGAATTGTTTGATCCACAAGTTCGAATAAATTTCTACTTCATGTCTAGTCATTAAAGTATATTGTTAGCTAAAGAAGCCTTAAAGTAGGGGCATTTGTAGACATGTAAAATTTATTGAATTCAAATTCAATAAAAAATTTGGATTATATTTTAAATATACTAGTCCAAATAAATTATGAGCTAATATAATTTGATTAATTATTTAAATCCGATAAATATTGACTGGGCTAGCCCATTTAGTTGGGCTACAAATAATTGGCCCACTTCATTAAGCCCAAAATGTCATCTTTCTAGAGGCCTAGTTTGGTGCCATGTGTCAAATGACGTGGCACGCTAAGTCAAACAAAAGAGCCAATAGGATCATGTCACATGTCAAAGTGACAAGGCATGCCACATCAAATTAAAAGGCTAATGAAATCGCGCCACGTATGCAAATGACATATTATGGTCTATCAAATGCGGCCTTGTCACACTTCAATTTGATTGGTCGGAAAGAGTTTGTTCTTATCATAACTCTTCCCTCCCACAACTATATATAGGGTTTTCATAACCCAGAAAAGACATCAGAAGTTATAACAAGAATCAAGAGAGAGTTTGTGGATCAAACGCTGCAGATTTCTCTAAAAAGCTACAAACATTCAAGTGTTCTAAGGATTAAAAAATCAATACGAATATTCAAGAACAAGCTGCAAGCCCTTGGATTAAAAATACGTCAAGCTCAAGCTTCAAGCACTTGGATTAATACGAAGATTCAAGAACAAGCTGCAAGCCCTAGGGGCATTTTATATATACCTACTTTGGGGGCTATCATTAAACTTATTTCGTATTGCACAAAAATTTACAAAGTGTACCCGCTCGAATATGAAGTAGTTTAATCTCTTCAATGCAACTTTAGAAAATCAAATTAGAAGTTCTTCTATATTTCAAATACAACTTTAGAAATTCGAATCTTAAGTAGTTCAATCTCTTTAATTCAACTTCAAAAATCAAATCTGTAATTTTTCTATTTATCAAATGTAACTTCAGAAATTCGAATCTTATGTAGTTCAATCTGTTCAAATGCAACTTTATATTTCGAATCTTAAGTTCTTAAACATAAACTTGTTCTTCGAATTTTAATAATTCAATACACAATTCAACACCCATATTTACTCCAAATGAGTTTAAATTTGAAATATAACTTAATATCGTAAAAGAACAAATCCTGATCATCAAATTGTCAAAACAATAATAAATTCAACAAATTTATTTTGCAACTAAGAAGAAGAAGAAATCCTAAGCACAAAGAAGATAAAGGCAACATCTAAGAAGAAGAAGAGAAAAATATATGTGTCTTTTTACAAAAAATGTGTATATATATGAAGTTAGCTATTTTTTAAAAGTGAGTACAAATTCAATGGAATTGGCAAAATTGAGAGCCACGTGACAAAATTTAAGCCTGTCAACAAGGGTTGGGCCGTCCAGACAACAAAACCATGTCTCAACTACGGTTTTGGCCCAACTCAGTACGCAACTCCACCGGCAGTAACTGTTATTACCTATTCATGGCGTAAAATGTCAGTTGACACCGGCAGAGAACGCCTAAGGAACACTGTCGTCTCCGATGTTCCGAACAATTTTTCACTTGCGATCTTTCTCAACCCCCATATTTTCCCTTCCTCAAGCCCTTCGCCACTTCTCTCATTTCTCCATCTCTCTACCAGCTCAATCAACCCACTTGCCCGTTAACCCATCACCACCGTTTACTGAAAAGTCTTCATTCCATTCTGTGTCATCGCTTAGTAGCTCGCTGCTTCTACAGAAGCATCAAGATGGGTCAGGAGATGAGTTCAATACGGACCCAAAGAGTCCTCCAAAGCTATTTGTTGTTCAGCCTCGGCTTCGGCCTGATTCCATTCTCAAGCCTAAGCTTGAGGAGGCACTGAACCTGGCTAACTCCCTTGAGGAGCAAAGAGATGGGTTATATGATACTGAGTTCCTTGATAAACAATTGCCCCCTCATCTTGTCGTCCAAAACCCTGCTGCTCGATCAACTCGCGCTGGTGCGTTTTCCCTACCATTGTTCCCCTGTTTTGCTTAGTAGGAGTAATACTTTTCGTTTTAGCTGATACCCAGCTGTAATGCAGCAACAACAACAACAACAACAACTATTACTGCTACAACTCAATTCCAAACTAGTTGGGATCAATTGTATGAAACCGAGGAGTACATGCATTAAAATTCTGTAGGAAATAGGAAGCTTAATTTGTGGGGAGTGTAGCAAGAGTTAGCTCAACTGTAGCTTGTAACACCGAGAACTTGGATCTGCAAGGTTAAACTCATCTCGCAAGTTGGAAACAATTTAGAAATGAGCTTAATATGCTTGCGTTGTCCAAGAATATGCTTGAACTGAGGGAATAAAGGACTCCATTTGTTCTAGTTTACGTGACCTTATTTTCTTTTTGGTCTGTCCCAAAAAGAATGACCCGTTATTATTTTAACATAAACTTTCTCATTTTACCCTTAATAACAATCTTTTTAGCCACACAAATGTTATGTCATTGTTAAGACCACAAGTTTCAAAAGTCCTATAGCCACACAACTTATAGCATGTTTAAGACCACAAGTTTCGAAAAGTGTTTCTTTGTTAAACTCCATGCAAATATAAACAGGTTCAAATAAAATGAAATAGAGGGAGTATATTAGAAGAAGAATATAACACTCAAAGCAAGTATTGTTTATAGTTGTCTCTAGTATATGTTTGTCCTATAGTAACTCAGGTGGTCACCTATGCTCTGATATTCTTCCTTTCATAAGAGCCCAATTGTTGTTCGAGGTGGAGAGTTGGAGTCTTCCTGAAGTTATCAGTAGGAAGGATGGCTAGCTATTGCTAATTATTTTATCCATCACTTAATTTTGAAATGATTTGTGCATTGTGCTTGCTATGATATGACAGATACGTTTTTCGGACCTGGAACTGTGGATAATGTTAAATGCCATGTAAATGCTCTGGAAAGTAAGGTAGAGGATTTAATATCTGGATGCAATTTAGTAAATTCAGTAATCTCTCCCTGTATTATGGAACTGTTAGCGGCTGATCAGGTTGATGTTGGTCACCACCATTTTGTTGGCAGGAAGGGATAGATGCCATTTTTGTAAATGCAATTCTCACTGGCATACAGCAGCGTAATTTAGAGGTAAGTCACTGTATTTGTTGGTCTATTCATTTTCTGGTGAAAAAATAAATTAATTGAGCCATTGGAAAATTTGCTAACTTGCTGTACTTGTTAGTATATTTATTATCTTAGGACAAACATGTTTCTCATAGCCACAATTATCCATTGGCAAAGGGCTTACTGTATTTCCCTTTTCCTTTTCTGTTTATGTTTTGTCCTTTCACTGGCAGCGGGCTTGGGGTAAACCTGTTCTGGACCGTGTGGGCCTTATAATAGAGATTTTCAATGCACATGCTCAGACGAAGGAAGCAAAACTACAGGTGAACTACTCTCTGCTATGGTGTTCGATGTATTCTCACATGATAGTTTCTGGACCTATAGGGAATACTTAGTTCTCCGCAGTCCCTTTGACTTTCCATTAACTTACAGGCTGAGTTGGCTGCACTTATGTACAAGAAAAGCCGGCTTGTTCGTTTACGTGGTCCTGGTGGACGTTATGCTTTTGGTGTAGCTGGAGAAGCTGAAGTAGTTAGTGCCAGAGGGTAACTTTATTGCTTGCTGACTTAATCCATATTAAAGGATGTTTTGGAAATTCAATGAATTGATTTCTGGTCACACGTATCCACTTATCAATAATATTTTCTCTGTAATTAAGATGATTGCTAAAGTTTGGGAAACAACATTTGCTGGCCCCGAAGTATCTGAAGTATGCCATTTTCACTTGCAGGAGAGGAAGTGGGGGACGTGGTTTCATTAGTGGTGCTGGAGAGACAGAATTGCAGCTTCAGCGGCGAAGGTTTGTCACTCACTCTGACTGAGAAGATGTATTATTTTATTATTCTAAATCTTTTGTGGACAGATAAAGCTGGAAAGGTTTTAGTCTATCTGTAGAAATTGTAGAGAACCTCTAATGTTAAATCGAACGAAATGGATATTGGGAATTCATAAGCCCAACTAGCTTGGCACTGAGGCTTAGTTCTTATTATTGCTGTAGACAAAGCTGGAAGTCAAACTTTCTGTCAAGTTAGCTATAGCAATATATTGAATGTGAATGTTATGCGTACACAACTCTGTCTATACGTCATTATGCAAGGCATCTCTGTTAACTGTTAGGAAGGTTATTTGAGAGTCAAATGAATATGAGCCTGACTTACTATATTAGAGACTTTGATGCATAATGAAGCTGATTGGATGAATGAACCTCAAGCATGGAATAGGATTAGTTGCATTTTGTCTTCTGTCTAAAGGACAGTGATTTAGTATGTATAATAGCAACTATTACTCCTTTCAGTGGCTATAAACTTATCGTATTTTTAGTGATCACATGTCTATTTTATGGAACTACTTGTCAAGAAAAATGAAAATGATTAGTAACTAGAAAAATAGAATGTGATAATATATGATTATTCCCTGAAAAGTTTGTCAACAGAAATATGTATCACTCCTTTTCCAATTTTCTTTTTTGATTGGTGAATTATTTTCAGTCAATAGTATAGGTTTTCTAGTATATACTTTAAACACTCCCTTTGGTATTGTCACCACTTGCCTGATGATGGTCCAATATCGTTTAGCTCATGCCTGTATCCATATGATATATTTCTACTCTAACTGCCTTCGGTTTCAGAATTTTAGAACGGAGGAATCAGTTGTTATCTGAAATTAAAGAGGTTCGTCGCACACGAGCTTTGCAACGCGCTGCTCGCAAGAGGCATGGAGGACCAGATGGTCAAGAAATTCCTACAGTTGCTGTTGTTGGTTACACAAATGCTGTAGGTTGATCAGAACTACATGAATCCCTTTAGTTTGATATTAATGCAATCTCTCGGTATTCATTGAGTTTGTTTCTTTAACAGGGGAAATCTACCTTAGTTAGTGCAGTCTCGGACAGTTATCTCTACTGCGATGATCGGTATGGTAAAGCAGTTGCTAGTCTGTACTTTCATTCTGATGCTGGCTGTCTATTAAGCTTTTAACTCCTAACTTGCCACCATGCCCTTCTATATCTTATGCTGGCAAGATGAGTTATATGACACTATCTGACATTTGGGCTCTTCATTTGCAGATTGTTTGCCACAGTGGACCCCAAGTTAAGAAGTGTCATTCTCCCATCAGGGTAATACAAAATTGGGTGAATTAGTAAGACCTTCCATCTAGTTTAGCGAAATTAAGTGGACGTCCCTTTATTCTCAAAAAAAATAAGTGGACTTCCTTTTAATCTGAGAAATATCTAGGATATCTTCTTTACTTTTCCCAAAGAAAATATCTAAGATTTCTCCTCAAGTTTAATGTTTTGTTACACATACCTCTGCCGCTGTTATTTGTGCTATTAAAAGCAATAGTGTCATAAAAATTAAAGTTCTTATTCGAATTTTGTGTTACAATGGTAATGTCTTACCTAAAATCTATAGGAGAGCCAAGAGAGAGAAATTTGACAAATTTTATACGTTGTAGCTTATGACTAAAAGTTAATTGCTGATGGACTTCAAGTTTAATGAGTTCACTTACTGTTTTCTCCATGCAGTTAACTTTTGTATTTTCATTTAACTTTTTATTGGAAAAAGTAGTCGAAGTTTCGCTAACAATCAATTTTAAAAAATGAGGCTATCTTGCTCCGAGTATTCAAATAGACTTCTACTGTTATACAAGTAGGTTCTATGATATTTCTCTCAGTGAGTGGAGGTCCATGAGATTTTCTTAAGTAGATGGGATGTCTAAATAATTGACTTTACTAAATTTTAAAGTTGCAAAAGTGATTTATGCCGTCCCCCAAGGCTGATGGCTCGGCCCTTTTTTGGTCAATTGATTAAATACTTCATATGCAGAAGGAAAGTGCTGCTCAGTGATACTGTGGGATTCATATCGGATTTGCCAACACAGGTGAGTGGATAGTGTCAGTACCCGCTCCTCCTCTTGTTATGGCATCAAAGACCTTCAGAATCACTTGGAGACTTCTTGTTTTTGCAGCTAGTTGAAGCCTTTCATGCAACATTGGAAGAAGTTGTTGAAGCCGACCTCCTTGTGGTTATCTTCTTTCTCTAATTACATTTTTGATTTTGTTAACTTACTATGTGCTGGCGACTATAGCTCCACACAACTATTCAACTCAAAATTGCAAATCCTTGAGCTGAAGGAAAGTTGCTTGAACTTAGAAGCTTCTAATCTGACGGATTGCTTAATTGTTGCAGCATGTGCTGGACTCAAGTGCACCAGACCTAAAGGAGCAGCGGGAAGCAGTGTTGCAGGTTCTTGGGCAGATAGGAGTCTCTGAGCATAAGCTCCAGAATATGATTGAAGTTTGGAATAAGGTAGGGAAAATAACTACCATTCCCAAAATTTAAGGACAGGCGGTGATAATCGGAAGTTCTAATACATGGATCCAGATGCATTGCTTCAGTACTTTTATATTTATGTAGATTGATCTTCACGAGGATTTTGTTGGAGATGGTTATTGCAACGAGCATGAAGTTTCTAGCTGGTCAGACGAAAACAATGATGTTGCATTCAATAACTTGTGTGAAGAGGACCTCCCTGATTATGGTGCTAATGAAAATGAGGACTTTGAGCAATCAGAAAAGCTTGGACAGGTTATAGATGATCAACAAGGTAACTACACTGATGAATGGTTGGTCTCAGGTGATGAACAAGATTCCTGGGTTGATTATAATAGTTCCTCGGTGGGCTGTGGGAGTACTGAGGTCCAGCAAAACAACCACTCTATGAAGTCGGATGTTATTAGTAGCGAAACCCAGTCCGTTTCTGAGTCTGCTACAGATACACATGTCAAGACGTCTGCCTTAACAGGTGTTGGATTGCAAGAGTTGCTGGAGCTTCTTGATGAAAGATTGAAGCCCCAGAAAACCATAGAGAAGAATATCTTTAACCGCAAATGGAGACCACCACGCACAGAGGATAGCAGAATAGCAGTTGAACAATAGTATATATAAAGAGCAAGACAAGCATTCCATCTCAAGGCAGTTGTGTTTATCCACGACTAAAGAGGAATTAAGTTTTAACACAATTAGGAGGATTTGTGACTAGTAGCTACATGCATCTCCTTGACATAGAAGATTGGAACATGGATTGGAGCTGCCTTTGGTCATTGGTTATTGGGGATGTGTTCACTCCTACTGTGAATGCTACACTATGGTTGTCCTATATCTGGTGTTTCTATTCTCTGAATATCCAGAACTGCCTATCAAACATCGAATTGCATTCTTAATTGCATTAAATTCCAAATTGACGATTTTTTTGGAAGTTAGCCAGTTGGTTAATCTTTGGTTTTGTTATTACTTGTTAGTTTAATTTCCCCTCTTGTTCTTTTTAAAAATCTTTATATCAAAACAAGAAAGTGTATTAATTTGGAAAACTAATGGTTGTTTGAACAGGTGAAGGGACCAAAACTAAATGACAGGTTAGATGTTGCGACTCTGAAGCCATGTTTGCTGAGGATAGTTGAAGGTAGGTGTTTATTAAATTTCCTCCCTAGGTTCACGTGTTGGGTTTTATTATTTTAATGAAAAAGTATTAAAATGGAGTTTGAACTTTTGTACCCTAGAGAAAGAAAGAAAAAAATACCTCAAATTTGACGCTATATTTTCAGCCTCCAGGCATGTTTAGGGAATTCCAATGTTGCATGACTTCAACTTTTGTGTAAGATAATTTAATTAATAAATAAATATTGTTCTCGTTTGAAATCAGATGTGTCGCTTTGCCGTTACCTATTTTAATATTTTTGCTCCCACATTTAACGGACTCTTTCTATAAGACACGTGGCACGATCTTAAACAATTTAACCATCTACCCTTTTACCCTACCCGTTCAGCCCCGACTCGATATCCAAACCCACCCCAAAAGAACCCTAAGTCTAATCCATATATATGGTTCTTCTCCTTCGTTTATATGGGGGAAACTGTTTCAGCCCATCTAAGGCTGCTGGATTCAAAAAAAAAAAAGTTAGATAATTCTTTAACTTCGGGAGCTGAAGCTAGTGTTTGGCCATAAATTTTAAAATTTATTTTGAAAAATCTAATTTTGGTGAAGTTTGGTTTGAAGATGAAAATGTGTTTGGACATCTGTTTTGGGTGAAGTTTGGTTTGAAAAAACATGAAACATGACTTATACCCACAAGTTCTAAAAACTATCACAAATATCCAACGGTATCATTATCAATAACATTCATTATATTATCGCAAATCATAGTCCTGAACATAAATAAATTTGATACAAAATTATCATTTTTATAATGAACTACATGATACAATATCAGATGACCGAGAAGACGAAGCAACATCGTTACAAAATAATAAATGGTGGGCTATTTTATAAAATATAAAAGTTTGGGGTAATTTTTTAAAAATATAACAGTGATATTTTGGCCCAAAATCAGCTATTGAGCTGGTTTTGAGATTTGAGACTTGGGATTTGGGATTTGGCCAAAATGTAGGCAAAATCTATGGCCAAACATGTGTTTGTCAAATAAAACCCAAGTTTATTTTGGCAAAATCTATGGCCAAACGGGTCCGAAATTTCAAGTTTGAGTTTTAAGAGTTGGTTGTGTTTCAAATCGGGACCGTAGTAGGAATTTCAAGTTTGAGTTTTAAGAATTAGTTGTGTTTTAAATCGGGAGCTGAAAACTTAAACTCAAACCGTGGCTCATTGTTTGGACGATTTGGTATTCGAACACTTGAATAACTTTCAAGTTCTTTGTGATGCTCGTAGTTTGAGTTTTGTGCGAAAATTTTAGATCCACTATTGATGAACAAACTTTGAAATTTAGATGTGGGTTTGATGTTTGAACTCGAAAAAGATGAACTGGGTATTTTAATTTCGTTGATGTTTGTTCGAATTGGTACTTTCTATTGTAATTAATATTGTTTATCAAGCTTCAGTTGTTAGTACACTGTTGAAACTTGGATTGAAGAAGAAGAATCTCATTGCTAAAATTTCGAGAGCTATTCGTTCACAAAAATTAAAAAAAACATAAATGTCATTGTTGAACCTTGAAGGTCTTGGGATTGAACAAGATTGGAAGGTTATTTGGGACAAATTTGAACTAGATTTGGTCAAGATTTGGTCGACATTTGACAGCTCAAAATGCAGCAGTTGTTTATCTTCAAGAACTTTGCATAATTCTGAAAATTGCTGCAATTTTACAATTGCACTTTAATGTGTTCTTACTCCATTTCGTTGTTTACTCTTGGTTAGTTTAGCTTAGCATTAGTACATATTAACTAAAATCTAGTTTTTGTGTTCTTAAATTGTCTGTGCTAATTTTGTTCGTACTAGATTAGCTTAGGCCGATGAAAAATATTAGTTTTCAAGGAGAGAGAATTTTGTAAAAGAAAAACCTAATGCAAAGAAAGGGAAGAGATGGATATAAGGAAAAGTTATAAATTGCACTAATGATGAAGTTAAGGAGAGTGAAAAAGGTAATGTAAATGGGTCTGGAGTTACGAGTATGGATACTAGGTTGAAAATGGAAAATAGGTCTGGACACTTAAAAAACTGCCACGTGTATGCAGGGCACGACTCCGTTAAATGTGGGGGCAGAAATATTAAAATGGGTAACGACAGGGGTAGATAGTGAAGAATAATATAACGGGGGATACTAATAACTATTTTTCAATAGTACAGGGACATATCTAGCACTTTTCAAGGGTGTTCAAAGTCTATTTTTAATCAATAACAAGTAATATTTTACCTTATACGTATTATAATTTTTTGGCGAAGGGTAGTCAGTTGATCACCCTTGGGCCAACATAGCTTTGCCTCTACTTACAAGAATGATTAAATTAGAGCACACCAACCTTATTTGTTGAAGGCAAGAGATGTAGATAGGTTATGGTTAAACCAATGGCGTGTATTTCAATAAAAAGTAAATACATCCTCCATTTCAATTTAGATAAAATATTTAGTTTATCGAGAGTCAACAGTATGAAGTTTGACCAATATTTTAAAATATTTTTTCTCATATTGATATGAGAAAAGTTACAACTTACAGTACTTTCGAATAATTTTTGAATATTTAAATTTTAATTTTAAAATATTGAGGTGAACTAAACTAATTTAACTTCAAAATTTTATTAAATGGACTCTCGATAAACGAAATATATCATCAATATTGAAACAGAGGCAATAGGTGTTAACATGTCACAAAATTGGAAAAATGAATCTTCACAATTACCTTCAACTTCAAAGTTAAAAACTTCACCTACTCCCCATTAATACTAATATCTATATGTAGTATATATTAAACGGAAAAGGGCATACAATACCCCTTTACTATATAAAATAGGACAAGCTAGCCCTCTGTTAAAAGTTGGTCTCTATTCTGCCATTGCCGTCAATAAATGGGCTCGTATATGCCCTCCATTACTAACGGGAGACTCATAAAACCACATGAAATATATGTGAGGGCAAGTGTAACACCCCGGAAAATTTTGAAGTACTTAAACGCTATTAAGAAAGTTGATGTGCGCTAATTATATTATTTTGTGTGTAGACAAGGACTATTATATAAATGATATCAATTGATCATGATAATATATGTATGACGTGCATTAAGAATGGTTTATGGTCTAAGAAGATCCCCAAGGCTAAGTCAAGTTGAAAATTTTATGATGAGATAAAGTTTCAAGTGAGTTCGCACAAGATCCTATTTCAAACGCATGCTGCAACCAAACTATAACTACTTAGGAGATGATCTACCTATCAAATTAAAGCCCTTTGAGTCTAGTTTCCAACGCTTCAAACCGTTCGTTATTTGTACACTCCTACAAGAAGTTATGACCAAATTATCAAATGCTGGGAAAATGAGATTCTGCTATCGCGAAAGTGCTTCTACGACCGCAAACTGGTCGCAGAATGGACCAGTACAACCCAGTTATTGGCACCGATTTTGCGGTGTATTTTTCGACCCGCATATCCATTATGCGGTCCATTATGCGACCACAGACCTAATTTCGGAGGGTTATTTTTTTTATTTTCATAACCCAACCCCATTTTTGATAAATAGGCTTTGGGGCTTATTTATGGGCAATTATCTGAGGAGTTTTAGAGAGAAGTGAGAGTGTTATAGAGAGAGAAAGTAGATGAAGTGTTTTGTTCATCAAGATCTTGCCCAAGCTTTGAAATCCAACAAGGAAATCTCACAAGATCTTCATCTAAGAGGTAAGGTTCCATACCCTAGTTTTCAATTTCGGATTTGGATAAAAGATGGTTGATTGGGAGTATGATTCTTGGGTGTAAGATTATTATTTATGCATGCTTGTACTAATAAGGTTTGTGGGAAGATTGTTGAGCTGAAATAAGTAAAGATAGGGTTGTGGAATGAAGGAAATCTTGTAGAAGAAACTTTGTAGTTAAATTTGAACACCTAGTGTTTGATAAAATGCTGAAATAAGCTGAGACCATGGATATCTTCCTAATTATGGTTCAATTTTGTTATGTCTCAAAATAGATTGGGATTTCTAGAATTTCCGGGACGTTGTAGTAATTTAAGGAAAGCTCAAAGCGAGGTATGTTGGCTAAACTTCCTTCTTAGAATTGAATTCAATGATGTTCCTGTAAGTTTCAAGTATGGGTGTCTCAAGTTCCTTATTCTATATTCCGGGTTGTTTCCAATCAATTTGAATGTCCCAAATAAGCAAAGTATCGAGAATTATGTATTCAAAACGTGTTCTGAATGTTCCTATCACATTATTTTATTTTTTGGGAATGTGTTCAAGAATGATATGTGTATTAAAATGCTATGTCTTTGAGTGGTGTTTCAAAGGAAGGTTATGATGTCAAATTGTGTGAGAAAACTCAATATGCTTAAGACTCTTAATTGCTCATATGTGTACCTAAAATATTGATTGGAAATGTCTTATTGTTGATAACCTACATAGATGGTTGGAAGTGAAATAAGTGAATTGAGGATATAAAGCGTGGCTAATGTGCGAAGAGTGAAAGTTATACTTGTGGCCAATGGTGCCCATGAAATGAGATGATGTGAGAAAGATTTAAAATGAGCTTTGATTCAACTATTCTAAAATTAACTTTGAAAATAACAACAACAACAACAACAACCCAGTAAAATCCCACTAATGGGGTCTGGGAGGGTAGTGTATACGCAGACCTTACCCCTACCCCGAAGGAGTAGAGAGGTTGTTTCCGAAAGACCCTCGGCTAAAAAAAATTTAAAAAAAGACAAAAAGAGACAATATGAGTATCACAGCAACAATCATAGGATAAATAGGAACATCATGAAATCCAGAAGAAAGATGCAAAGAAAGGGAGACAATAT